CTGTATTATAGATTGGAAAACTGGACACAATAAGATATCAACTCCCCAAATTGATCTATAGATGTAACACAATTCCAAACAAAATCACAGCATAATTGCTTGTAGATATTGTAAACAAGCTGATTCTAAAATTGATAAGGAAATGCAAAGGAACTAAAATAGGCAAAACAATTTTGAAAAAAAATAAAGTTGAAAGAATCACACTATCAAATTTTAAGACAGTATAAAACTGTAGTAATCAAGACAGTGCGGTAATGGGAACTGTATAAACACTTAGAGCAATAGTACGGAATAGCAAGTCTAGTAATAAACGGACATGTACATGGCCTTTTGACAAAGGTACTCAGGAAATTTAATGGGAAAGAACCTTTCAATAAATGGTGTTAGAATAATTTGATATCCATATGAAAAACAAAAACAAAAATCCTCCACCTTAAATGTAAAATGTAAAACTATAAAAATTTTTATAAGAAATCATAGAAGAAAAGGTATATGACATGGAATTAGGCAAAAAAGTTCTTAAATATATACCAAAAGCATGATCCATTGGATCATAATAAATTGATACACTGGGCTTCGTCAAAATTAATCCTTTTGCTCTGTGAAAGATCCTGTTAAGAGGATACAAAGATAAGCTACAGATAGGAGAAAATATTTGCAATCACGTATCTAACAAAGAACTTGTATCAAGAATAACTCAATAGTAACAAAACAAACAATCCAATTTAAAATGGCAATAATCTTGAATACACACTTCACCAAAAAGGATCTATGATGGCAAATAAGCACATGAAAAGATGTATGACATCATTAGCCATTTGGGAACTGCAATTTAACCCATGAGAAGATACAATTACACACCTATTAGAATTGCTAAAATAAAAAATACTGACAATCCCAACTACTAATAAGAATGTGGAACAACTGGAACCCTCATACTGTACATTGTTGATAGGAATGCAAAATGGTATAGAATTTTGGAAAATAACTTGACATTTTCTTATAAAGTTAAATGTATATTTGTATGATCCAGCAATCCCATTCCTAGGTATTTACCCTAGAGAAATGAAAACTTACATTCATATGTAAACATGTACACACAAATGTTTATAGTAGCTCTATCATAACTACCAAAAGCTGGAAACAACCCAGTGTTCTTTAACTCGTGAGTGGATAACTGTCCTTTAACCGGTGAATTTTAGTACATCCATACAGTGGAATAGTACTCAGCAATAAAAAGGAATGAATATTCATACATGCAATAGCTTAAATAAATCTCAAAGGTATTATACTAAATCAAAGAAGTCAGTCTAAAAATGTTACATACCGTATAATTCCATTTATGTGACAATCTTGAAGAAAAAAAACTAGTGACACAAAGCAAATCAATGGTTGCCAAGGGTTAAAGATGGCGGGAGAGTGTGACTGCAAAGGGGTAGCGTCAGGAGGATTTTTTAGGGGCAATAGAACTGTTCTGTATTCTGATTGTGGTGGTGGTTACACCAATCTATACCTGTGCTGAAATACATAGAATGAAACATAAAAACATCAATTTATTTAGTTAATTAAAAAATAAATTTACCCCAAAAAATCTCTTTGTAGACATTGATATCTTTGTAGATATTCTTTCAGGACATCTTTCAAATGGTCTTTCTTATGAAAATAAAGAACCTCTATTCTATTCCTGGAGATCTCCAACACTAATATCATTCCTAAATATGTTTGAACCTCTTCCTAGA